ATTCCCCGTAAAGTATAGTATACGAAGAGTGAGAAACATTTACTGTACAATACCGCTACTAATTTTTGTTCAATCGACGGTTTGCGACGGTCGGAAACCGTCGCAAACCGTCGGCTCGCCATAACTCTTTAAAAAATGGTTCGCTCGACCTGCAGTTTATACCATCTGATAGCTCTGCTCGAGATCTACAAGATGGTTAAATTCACAAATATCTGACATTTCTAGAAGCGTTCAGGAAAAACGGACCATGGTTTTGTGTTCCTCGCATGAGTCTCTACAAAGTGCAGGAAACCATTTTGGAAAAGCGCTCCATGTCCTGAAAGACCATCCCTCGTAAGAGGCTAGAGACCTGCGGCGAGTAGTTAGCCACTTATGGTTAGTGGACGTGCCACACTGATAGCGCCGCGGGGAGGACCATGCTAGATCGCCGGGGGCATACACTTCGCTGGTGTCGGTCCGCAACGTGTAGGTGGACCTGCTTTTCTACTAGATAGGTTTCTCCTTCTTCGGTCTGCAACCTCATCGTGGAATTCACTTTGAATAAAGCCCAATTGCCTTTATTTTCCACTTGTTGAATCGTTGTCTACATTTCAAGTGAATTCCTTTCAAATTTTCCGAATGCCGTCTTCAACATCAGCTAGCGTTGCTCTTTGGTTTTTAGCACTTTCCTATCTTTGCGGTCTTCCGTATCTGACGTAAACAGGCTCCAGCTAGGGCTTCAGATCACTTTGCGCTTGCGGCTTCCTTTATCTAACACAAACAAAACCCAGTCGGTGCTTGACACCTTCTTGACCCTGCGGTTTTTCATATCTGGCATAAACAAACCGCATTGGTGGAAGGAGCACGACTACCGCTAACAAACATTAGCCGCCATCATCAAAGAGCTTTGGACATCGAAAATAAACAAACTTCAAAAGAAAAAGAATTGTTTGCTTCAGTTGGCAGATGTTATTGACAATTTCTTCCAAAAAAAAACAATTAGCCAACACGTTATACGTGTGAGTGCTGACAAGCTATACGTATACCATGAAAAGCTGAGTTGGAATGAAATGGTGCCCCGGTAGCGTAACTGGTAGCGCACTTGCCCGGAAAGCGAGAGGTGCGGGTTCTAGTCCCGCCTGGGGCGAAAGTTTTGTTCACAACCCAGCATTCTTGTGAAACATTAGCCAGGTTTTTCAAAAAAAAATCGAGAATGACGGTTGTGCTCTTTTCTATGCCCATCAAAATGAAGAAACTTCAAGAGAGGAGGAATTAAA